ATCCGGACCGCTCGCTGGGCCATCGGAATATCCGGTCCGCCCTGGGTATGTTGGCATACAACACACAGTAGGACCTGCCTCAACCCAACCCCAGTCAACCAACCATGTACACATAAACATATAATCATATAACATCTCATCACCAATCAACCGATCTAGTAGATCACATACATAGCATACTCTAACCAGGTTACCGACAATCAACCGATCTAGTAGATCACATACATAGCATACTCTAACCAGGTTACCGACCTAACCGATCACTAACATAGCATCATCCTATATTTCAGGATTCCGACCTTAACCAGGTCTCTAACATATACCATCCTAACTACCAGGATGCAAACATATAGCAAGGCAATAACATAACAACTAACCGGATTTCCATCCAATAAAGGGTCGACCTTGGTGCCTTAGACCCTGTCGATATAGTGAGGATAACTCACCTCGCAACTGCTGACTGAAAAGATAAGATCACGCTGCTCCCACCTCCGATACGAACTCCACCACTGATCAATACCAAAAGACTGAACTCAATAAATGCCAATAATTACCAAAATACCCTTGGAAGTCAACTGGTCAACTCTTGGTCAAAGTTAAAGTCCTCAGTCAAAGTCAAACTTCTAGAAAAAAAGGTCAAGGTAACAGCTTAATACCTCACAAATGTGTCCCAAACTGGAGTGGGTTCTGGATCCACACAAAATCCTTGATGGTTGCCTCTTGCTCTTCAAGTCTCCTCCACCAAATTCACTTCTTAAGGCTCCAAATACTCTCCAAGCTCTCACTCACGGCTTTTAGGGTTTCTGGGACTCAAAGGGAATGTAAAGAGGCTAAAGATAGGGTATTATGTTCTTTATATATAGCACCAACTTTGGATTAGGGTTTTTCTCATTCCAGCACCAACTCGCCGAGTTGGTCACTTAACGTGTGACCAGAATCGCGACTCGACTCTTCGAGTCTATCCATCGACTCGCCGACTCGGCCTTCCTTATTTACACTAAGAACCCTGAACTCGCACTTCTGAACTCGGGGTATTACATTCTTCATCAACATCATACGTTCTACTACTTGTTCGCTATCAAAATCACATGTTCTTCATAAAAAAAAACATCGACACTTCATAAAAACATCAATTCTTCATCAAAAATCATCGTTTATTCATCAAAATGTTGTGATTCTTCATTAAAAACATTTATTTGTACTATTAAGTGTAACTCGTGATTCAATCTTGTCCAGTTTTGTTGACATCAAGCAAAATCGTTAAAATAATCCATATTTATCGATGTCACGTCATTTAGTGATCACTAATCATCGAAACCTCATCAAAGGAACCTTCACCAATATCAAACAACACTTAGCAATCGAAAGTTTATCAACATAACCATATATTTGAAGATTTTTTAAAAAATCGTTTTTCATACATTTTTTTTTCACAGTTTTTGATATAAACCTATTGATTATTAATTGATTTTGAAAGGATTTTATTTGTTTTGTAATTATTGGCTTTAATTGTGAATTTTTACCATAGTTATATAAATTAATTTATTTGTACGCCAACTGTTCAATGAAATGCATAAACTAATATATCACGTAATATTCACAAGTGAATATGGCTTTATACGAGAATCAATGTATATCTTTTAAAAACACAGAGCAACTATGTAATTGATATATGAATAATAAAAAATATATATATATTCACACGCGAATACATGTAATATTTACAAATGAATACAGGGTAATATTCATAAATGAATATATGTAATACGTCATTTTAAGGTTCTAAGCAAGTTTGTAATTCATATGTGAATAACATATACAAATTATATACGCATGTAAACGTATGTAATATTCACAAATGAATATATATGTAATAATTAAATGTGAATATATATACATATATATATATATATATATATATATATATATATATATATATATATATATATATATATATATATATATATATATATATATATATATATATATAATTCACAAATGAATAAAACTGTCAATAAAACCGAGGACTATAAAATATATAAAATTAAAGATAAAAAAATATTTGATAAGAATATATATTTATTCAAATACAACTAATCTTTTTAGGTTAATAAAATAATTATATAAGCATATATATTTTTATTAATGTTATATTCATTTGTGAATAAATGATAACTTTTTTTTCAGAAAATTATAAAAATAGAAAAACATCATTTTGAGGCCCTAAACAGTCCCGAATGGCCGACCGTACGTCACGGCGAAGCGGTGCGTTTTGTAAATCGCACCATTTTACATCAAATATGCGAATTTCGTCCAATTCCGAGACTAAACTTCATTGCGGCAATTTTTTTGATGATGTCACTAAATTTTCATTCCTACTAGTGATGACATCATCATTATTCATATATGAATAAAGTTTAGAAATCATTACCACATATTTACTAATGATGTTGCTAACTTCAATCTCACTAGTAAAAACATCGTTATTGTAATCTGTTATTTTTATTTATGTGAATAAACTATACATGTTGATTTATTTATTTTGTGAATACAACCTTTATATATAAAAATAAATAATACACTATAAGAATTGGTTTGTGCATAGTTTTTTTTTTTTTTTTTTTTTTTTTTTTTTTTTTTTTTTTTTTGTATAATGTAACAATCTTATTTTACATGTAAAATCAACATTATACTAAGACAAACAACATTGTATTGGTTAATGAATATCATTTGCATTTTAATTTAATACGATCAAAATGAAGAATATATTAAATTGTATAACATTTACACGTGCATATAAAAGTATATTGTCTTTGTCAATGATATCTTCTCAATTACATCAACCAATCGTCAACCACCGAGATATGAACCAACCATTGGTTGAAATGTTATTCTTTTATTGAGTTATAACGATACCTGAAAAAACATATGAATACACATAAAAAATGTTAAAAATATACTTTTAGTTCATAATAATAGCGATTTATCACATTCTAGTTATCACATGGTATATATGAATGTATAATCATATGTGAATATTATATGATATATGTTGTTTAGATTGTATATTTACATGTGATATTACATGGTATATTCACAAATGAATATTACATAGTATATTCACATATGAATATTATATGGTAGATTCATATGTGAATATTATATGGTATATTTGCTTGTGAATATTACACATTCTAGTCACATCTAAATATTGCATGGTATATATTCATTCATGAATATTACACAGTATATTCATATATGAATAATATATAATATATACACTTGTGAATATGATACAGGATATTCATATTTAAATATTAAACGATACATTCACTTGTCAATATTACATAGTGTTTTCACTTGTGAGTATTAGATGATATATTCACTTATGAATATTAGATGATATATTCATATATGAATATTAGATGATATAATCATATATGAATATTACACAGGATATTAACATATGCATATTACAATATATATTCACAAATATATATAATTTTTATGTTATTCACATATGAATAACATATAAGATTGTATATTTGTTTTGTGTTTTAATAATCATATACTGATTAAGGTGCAAAAACATATTCATATGTGAATATAACGTGGTAATTTAGTTTATGCATTTCATCAAACAGTTAGAGTGCATACAAGAAAGCTTTCTTAAAAATGCTAAAACATGATACTTTGACTATTTAAAACTTACAAAATAGTAGATTAATAGAGAATTATATGAAATATTTCAAAAAAAAGATAATTTGATGTTTTTCTAACCTTAATTTTGAAGTTTTGTTTGATGATTGATGTTGAATGAATGATATGAAGTGAAACTGCTGTTGATTATCGATGTTATTGATCTAATGACACTGGGAGTAAAATTAATCGTAGATGTTGAAGATATTCTCGTATTCAAGCATAGTTGAAGGTTAGATTGAAAGAACCGAAAACGAATTTTTTTTGGTCTACTGTTGAATGATGTTGATAAACGTGTTTTTGACGAAGATGGATGATTGATTAACACTAGATGATATTGATCGATGATTTAATTGAAAAAATCTGGATGATCGTTGTACGTTGAAGAAGAAATTTGGATAATGAATGATCGAGTAGCAATGAATTTGAATTGTTATCAAATTATCCACAGTTACGTATCTGTGATTGAAGGATATCATATCATATTTACAAGTTTGTCACCGTATATTTTAAGTTAAGATGCTAATTAAATGGTTAGCTGAGAATGATTCCCCGATTCTCAACTTTTTTTTTCTCAATTGAACCCTTATATATATATATATATATATATATATATATATATATATATATATATATATATATATATATATATATATATATATATATATATATATATATATATATGATTACAAATTTTAATAAAAACACATAATTTTTATTAAAGGTTTCAACGGATAATTATCTTTAAATTTGAGGGAAAAAAAAGTTTAGTTAATGCGATTGGATATACTACTTATTGGTTCATTTGGAGATTCGGAAAATCCAAGTATGTGATACCCAAAAAACTTAGGCAAAGTAATATCGTTGATTCCGTTCAACATTTCTTGTTTTTGTGGTTTTTGAATAGAAATAGTAAATATATTTTCTCATGGATTAATTGCTTATAAAACCCGTTAAACTTTTCGTAATTATTTTGGCCTAACTTCTTGCTAGGGCTCTTTTTTGGTTTTCTTAGTATAGGTATGATAGGATTTTGTTGTTATTTTTTTAATTGATCACGGTACAAAGTTCACTTATAATAATTAAAACTAAAGGTTTATTAGGTAGTAACAAAACCACTCCATAATAACATAAATAACTATTGAGATAATTAGAAATACACAAACATAAATAACTTTTTCATACATATAAACCACATACACGATTTTTCATACATATAAACCACATACACGATGCCTATATACATATTAACAAAACCACTCCATATATAACATTTATTTTATCATGCACGTTTACAATAGTCACTTGTACATTTGTTGCATATAGTAATCCGGCGGCACAATATTTTTCATACCTTTACTAGTCACACTCATTTGACCATAGGGTCGTGGAACAACGTTATGATGAGTGGTGGTAGTCCCGGTTAACAACGCCGGACGTATATGAGGTTTTGAAGGTGGCAAACCATAACCCTCATAAACTCTGTCAGCGGTGGGTTGGGAAGTATTGCGGTGGTTCTCTATTGATCCAATAGACAATGGTTGGTCATAGGGGTTGTATTCATAAGTGGCAATGTTGATATGTTTATGTGTGTTTTCTTGGTGACGGGCGAAAGCTTGAAACGATGGAAGTTGAGTGGCGACGTCATGAGTTTGGTTGCCTGTAAGTGAATTAGAAATGGATCGAATGTCGGAAAGTGACTGGACATAGGGGTCTTCAAAGTCTTGAAGATGATAGGGGTTATCCTGATGATCCAGTGTTCTGATTGCCGACGATGAGAGTGAAGGGGGAGCTAGAGAATACATTTTTGAGGGTGTGCAGGTTGTTTGGGAGTTATGGGGATGTGTACATAAATAAGGAGATAAAGTGGGAGTAAAGGGGAATCCGATGGTTGGTGGCTGTCATTCGCATGCACGTAAAGATCAAAGTACTAGATTCTTAAGTCGATTCAATATAAAGTCCGGTGGTCCTAAAAAAACTACTTTTTATTGCCTAATTTTCAAGCGAAACCCTCATGAAACACGGGACAACTTTTTTTATTTTATTTTATTATTTTTTTTTTTTTTTGTGGTCACCAGGCCTATTGGATTTGGGCTTTGTTGATAAATCTTTTTTTGATATTGGGTTGGATATATAAAATGTTTGTGTTATTTATTTTAAATTTGGTTTTGTACCGTGGGGATATTCCCTATATTTGGGTGCCGATAAACTTAAAAAGGTTACCAAAATATAAGTATTTGACTTTTTTAGGCTTTTATGAGTGTAAGCCACATGTTATTATATGTTTTTTATTTTGAAAAAAAGCAAATTATACTAGTTCAATAGAAACCAGCCCGCTGGGGGCTAGACAAAATAGAGTACAAATTGAAATATGAAAACGGACAATACTTGTAGCCTAAGAAGGACCAAATCTAGAGAAATTAGAGGTAACTAAAAATGAGAAGCTATCAAACTATCAAATAGGCTTGTAAGCACGTGAACCAAACTTCAACTCCAAAGACAACAAATCCTGCTTTCAAATAAACTTCATGTTGAATAGTTTCATAACCAAATCATAAAACGCGAAAACATAAGTTTTGGATCTTTAATCTCGAATCTGATTAAAAGAAAACTTAAAATGAAATAACAATTACATACCTAATTTCATTATGATCTTCGGATCTGAATAACTAGGGTTGGGTGTTCCAGTTGATCTCAAGAGCTCTCTCTAAAATCCTTCAGCAAACCCTAATGAATTTTCATATGTATTTCGTGTGTCTTGATCTGTTCCTCATCACATGTATCTATAGATGGAGATAAATCCTAATGTGAGAGATGGAAGAGATCTTGAGGATCTTGAGTCAAATCGGGAACTCAACCCACAAGGTAAGTTAATATATTTTATAAATCGGTCCATCAACAATTTATATTCTTACCATAATAATTGGATTTAGTAATATATCGTACATATTTATGAAGTGGTCCCATAATTATCCAATAATCTCCCACTGGACCACGAATATATAAATGTACGTATAACTGTATAAGCGCTTTAACGAATGTTATTATAACATTGGTACCCTTAAACAATTTGTCCAGTAATCATAATAGTATAGGATCAAAGCGGCCTTCGGTACAATTTACATAAATAAACCTATCAATGGTCACATATACATATATAACTAACGACATAGATTAAACATGATGTGTGGTTTTAAAAGCTAAATAGATTTCCAACGAGTTCCTCTATAGATTGAAGTGAGATCAAACTTCAAATAAGTGCAACTAATAATGGAGTTAACCGAATTCTTAATTCTGTACAGAAAAATATAATTGTTCTTAAACAAACCATAAAGCACCATAAAACTCCCACTAAAACCAAATATCATATCAACGTGTGTAGTATGCTCATCAAAGACCTAGGGAGGTAATCCCTTTATGAGCGGATCGACGTTCATGGAGTTTGTTCATATGTGCTATGTATATTTCCATTTTGCAATATTTTGTTAACAAAAGGAAACTTGATGTCAATATGCTTTGACTTAATAGAAATTCTTTTGTTGTAATATAATATTGCCGACTTATTATCACAACTTTAGTGGTCTTTTAATACCAATAATGTGTAGCCTCGTGACAAATTTCCGCACCATATTCCATGCTACAAATTCTGATGCCATTATGGAAGAAGGTACCAAAGTCTATTCCATGAAATGGCTTATCATGCAAAAATTTAAAAGTATCTCGATATGGATCGGTGACCGTTTTGGCATTTAATAAAATCAGATTCTGAATAATGATCTCCAAAACATCTGATTTCCTATAGTTAAGCATGTAGCCTTTTGTTATATATAGATATCTCAAAATCCATTTGGTTGCTTTCTTATGATCCAAACTTGGGTTGTGTAGATATCTGCCTAAAAACAGAAAGATAAATTACTCCCACTTAATATGTGATGCACAAAATCATCTATTGTATTTTTCTCAAAACCAAAAGAGATAATAAATTGATGAAAAATGTGGTACCACACATAGGATATCCAAAGTTGAGGTTGTTGAGTTTGTGTATTCAGAATAGGAGATTGAATAACATTGTCGATCACTAATTCATAATATGCATACTATCGAAAGCAATTGTAGGAATCAAGATTGATTCCTCCTTAAGGACAATGTTTTAACCTTGTTTCTCCCCCCAAACTCAACATCCTCAAAGAATGTTGCTCTATCCAAAATGCAATGTCAATATCCATGCAATTAAGAACTAACATAATGCCCTCATTCCATTCCTTAAACTTAAACTCATTGAGTACATGAATCATAAATATGATCAATGTTAGCACATATTATAACATAATTCAAATTTGTTGTTTTGAGAACATAAGTAAATCTATTTTTATGGTCATTAATCCATAAACCATAATCAATAAATTCATTCTATGACATCTTTACAAGGTATCAACACAACATTAATATCAACTCTTTGGACAATAATATTAACTTGCAAGAGATAACCTTGTTTTACTAATAAACATTGACAATAAATTATGTTAATTAATAAGCCCGTCTTTGGATTGACTTATTAGTCACATTGAACCAAAAAAAAAATTATCACATGTTTATCACCTGATAGCTTCATTTTATTTACTTATTTTTATAGTTTATTTTAGTACATTTCATTCGCATTTTAGTTAACTTTCATGCATATTTTCCCTTTTGTTATTTTTATGATCATTTCGGGGTACTTTCTAGTTTCTTGAGCATTATTGCAGATTTTCTTGGAAACTAGCGGGGCGACACTCTTGCGAGGCGATTGGGCTTGAAGGGAATTGGAGATTTCATGCTTGATGGCTATGAAGGTGATTCATGGGGTGGACTTGTCAATTGCTTGAAGGCTTGGAAGAATTGAGCTTTAAATTTGAAAGATGCGGGGGAACATTCAAGCGTATGAAAATTATTAATCGGGCGAGTTCACGAGCTTTGGAGGATTTGGAGAGGTCAAATTAGGCTTTAAATGAAGAAAAACTTGAAGAAAGTGGGCTAGGTGATGATTGGATTCGATCTGGGCTAGTGGGATATGCTTTAGAGGCCCAAAATCTCAAAGAAGCCCATGTCAGGCACCACCCGCGCAACCCACCCGTGCAGCAGCACGCGGGTCGCGCAAGGCCCTGCAGGGGCAATTTCGGAAATTCTTCTTTTGAGCTATTTGAGGAAGGTTGGTGCCCATCTTTTGCATACACTTGCACATCCGATTTTTGGAGATTCTCTCTGGAGTTTTGGAGACTTTTGAAGGCCAAGAACCCTTGAAGAACATCATATTTTTACCTCTTGATTCTTGCTTAATGTTTGGTACAAATTTCTCTAACTTTGTTTCTTTGTGTTTAGCCATGCTTGGCTAAACTAATCTTGGTTGACTTTTGGTTAATCTTTTGAACTTTTGTTGAATGTTGAAGAATCCATGAACATGTTCTTGAATATTTATGGGAATGTTTTGTGTTTTAACATCTTATCATTACTTGTATGTTTTAGTTCATGAGTTTAAATGTGTTTGTGGTGATTAGTTGGCTAATTTCTTGATTAAGTAAAGGATCCTCAAATTAGCAAGCAACAAATGATTTTTGTGTTGTTTTAGCTTCACACAATCATAAAAACATTTCCTCCAACATGGTGGTGAAAGCATTTGACCCCTTTTGGATTTGGTGACTTTTTGGTTCTTAATGCTAGTTGACTTTCACTAATTACATGCTATTTGGAATTAGTGATTTTGACTAAGGAAATTGTTATGAGCTTCTCTAGCCATTTCAACAATTAAGAAAAGTCTAGGTAATCTCAAGCTCCTTGGATTAGTTTTGGAGACTTTTGAAGGCCAAGAACCCTTGAAGAACATCATATTTTTACCTCTTGATTCTTGCTTAATGTTTGGTACAAATTTCTCTAACTTTGTTTCTTTGTGTTTAGCCATGCTTGGCTAAACTAATCTTGGTTGACTTTTGGTTAATCTTTTGAACTTTTGTTGAATGTTGAAGAATCCATGAACATGTTCTTGAATCTTTATGGGAATGTTTTGTGTTTTAACATCTTATCATTACTTGTATGTTTTAGTTCATGAGTTTAAATGTGTTTGTGGTGATTAGTTGGCTAATTTCTTGATTAAGTAAAGGATCCTCAAATTAGCAAGCAACAAATGATTTTTGTGTTGTTTTAGCTTCACACAATCATAAAAACATTTCCTCCAACATGGTGGTGAAAGCATTTGACCCCTCTTGGATTTGGTGACTTTTTGGTTCTTAATGCTAGTTGACTTTCACTAATTACATGCTATTTGGAATTAGTGACTTTGACTAAGGAAATTGTTATGAGCTTCTCTAGCCATTTCAACAATTAAGAAAAGTCTAGGTAATCTCAAGCTCCTTGGATTAGTTTTGGAGACTTTTGAAGGCCAAGAACCCTTGAAGAACATCATATTTTTACCTCTTGATTCTTGCTTAATGTTTGGTACAAATTTCTCTAACTTTGTTTCTTTGTGTTTAGCCATGCTTGGCTAAACTAATCTTGGTTGACTTTTGGTTAATCTTTTGAACTTTTGTTGAATGTTGAAGAATCCATGAACATGTTCTTGAATCTTTATGGGAATGTTTTGTGTTTTAACATCTTATCATTACTTGTATGTTTTAGTTCATGAGTTTAAATGTGTTTGTGGTGATTAGTTGGCTAATTTCTTGATTAAGTAAAGGATCCTCAAATTAGCAAGCAACAAATGATTTTTGTGTTGTTTTAGCTTCACACAATCATAAAAACATTTCCTCCAACATGGTGGTGAAAGCATTTGACC